TGAAATACACAATAGATTGTATAAGGAAAGCATCAATAAGTGTGAAAAAAATGTTTAATTATACGAGTAAAAATTATTTGCCAGAATGTCACATACATTGGGAAAATGAAACACCTGTTACTTCTGTCCTTAATTAAATAACCTTTTGTTAACTTTTATATAGTAGACTTGTGTGGCTTTAGATTAGAACTGTCCTTTGTTTCTAAAACCTTTAGCCTTCTCTATATTTCTACCCATGCTACATGTCTAAATTATAATATCAGTTGGCACATCTGTGCCGTCCGATCATGATGGTCTCCCACTGTTTGCTGCCCCGTTAATACAAAGTTAAAAACTTTCCTAAATAGAAATAATTAATGTTTTTATACAGATTGATAGAGGGATAAGTCCATTTAAAATAATAATTTAGCATGGTAAGGGTTAGGGAAGGTCAGTTTGTAAGATAGAGAGGCCAATAATAGTATTGAACCTAGTGAGACTGCACAGATGTGGTGGCTGGCCTGAGGTGGTAAAGGCTTGTCATTATCGTTCTGTGCACTGCTGACAGGTTTTATTATATATCAGTAAACAATATAGCTGGCATAAATCTCATGTAACTGTGGTTCAATTGATGATGCAAATGTATTTATTGTATTTAATAAAGTTACATCCTATTTTTGACTATAGTGTAAATGTAATTGTATATCTCACTTACATTTTTTCTTAGATGTTGATGTATCAGTCCATGATACGACTGTTTGTTGCATGTGTAACCAGTGTTGAAGTGTTTTCAGTTGTAATCAATTTTGTTTTTTCATCTAGTTTTGTTGAAAAAGATTTTTTTTAGCTTAGTTTGAAATCATTGAATATTTTTATGTTGTTTTTTCCCCTTTACAACTATTTTCTAGTTAAACATATTTCACTTTTACTGAACTAAATTTTTGTAATGGACTTACATAGGACTTGAATTTGGAATAAGTTACTAGGCTTTGAAATGTAAAAATATTTGTAGTAAACAACCTAGTCAGGATAGCCGCACTTATACCAGGAGCAAATAACTTTACATCATTGTTCCTGGAGTTCAGATAAGTTTTAATTTTCGAAATTAACATTATAATATGCATACATTAAGCCTTTTGTTGCCCAGGTGAATGATTCACAGGGATAAGGAATATTTGAGCCGCATCACGACAAAACCAACATAATGGGTTTGCGACCAGCATGGATCCAGACCAGCCTGCGCCTCCGCGCATTCTGATCAGGATCCATGCTGTTTGCTTACAAACCCTATAACAAGTTAAGAGAAACTGATAGCGAACAGCATGGGTCCTGATCAGACTGCGCAAATGCCCAGGCTGGTCTGGATCCATGCTGGTCGCAAAAGCGCGATGTTGGTTTTGTGGTGACGCGGCTCATTTAGCTCCTATTTCTGGTGCCATTTTTGTCTTATTTTCTTACTGTGTCAAATGTTTTGCAGGTAACATATTTTTTGTACTCCATTGTGTTTTACCGATCTGATCTTTGTTACTTTACAGCATTTTTTTAAGGAGGCACATATTTATGTGTACAAAATGTTTACTTAATAAATTAATGGATTTCTAAACAAGCACAGCTTTTTACTGGATTTCTAAACAAGCACAGCTTAACATGCTATAACCTTGAATAAATTAATGTGATTAAGATGAGTGCCAAAATTAGTATTACAAATTGCCATTTGGTTTTTCTCAAACACTTAGTATTATCGAAAATTGTTAGCAAAAGTATGTGATTAATGTAAGATTTTTATCATTATTACAAAGATTATGACATAGTCTGAGAGGCGTGTTTATATTTTTAAAAAAAAAATAATCAAAAAGGTTTAAAGAATTTTCTTAAACGTTCAAGTCTGATGAATCTCTTTTACCTAATTTGCATAATACTGAGCAACGGAACTAATTCATCCATGTATAATTGCAGCAATGCTTAACGAGTAAAAGTTTTTTTGTAAGTGTGAAACCTGATATTGTTCTGTCTACCTCTGTTCCAGTGTGATTCTTCTTGCTATATTTTGAGCTAATTTTAAAATTTAATGTCTTACTAAGAAGGGCAGTATTCTGTTTTATCTTGAGTATTCAAAGAATAGGGAGAGCTGTTGTACTCACCCAGGCGTCAGTGTCACACTTTGGTTAAGATTTTGAGTGTAAGTTGGTATCTCTAAAAATACTTAAGTGAAAGGGTTAAAACTTAACACTAGTATTTGAGAGCATAAAAGGAGCTCGTTTTTCAATGTCCATAATTCTTACATGGATTTTTGACTGAACAAAAGTCTACGCTATTTACTATCACTTAAGCACCCAGAAAAGGCGAGCACACTGTCCGACTGATTGTTCTTGTTCTTGATTACCCTGGTATGTATTTTCAAATGTTATACTTGGTCTGTAGTGTTGAAATATGTGTCTATCTGGCAGCTAGTATTCAATTAGATTATTCTAAAAATATTTCAGTTTACAGTGGCAAGTCTTTGTATTAATTTTATTTCACATATTTAACAAGACTTTCTGTTATTGCAAATTAAATCTACATCATTTTTGTAAAAAACAAACAAAAAACCTTTTGAACATTTTGTGTAAGTACATGAAGTAGAAAAATGGACTTTTGTTGCTTTTATTACATTGTATTATTATATATATACTTTTTTTTTAAAAATGTATACAACTTGATAAGGTCTGACATATTCAATGTTATTTTATTCACATGATTTTGTATTTTAGTTATGTAATTTTGCAGAGATTTTGGTTTGTATTTTAAGCTCACCTGAGCACAAAATGTCGACGTGACCTTTTATAAATACAGTGGGTGCGTTGTTGTCCACAATATTTAAAATAACATCTCCTAAACCACTTGGTAGATTTTAATCAACTTTACCAGAATTATCCTTAGTTGGCCCTAAAGAGATTCCGTTTCAGTATAAGTAGGTCACATGGGCTAAAATGAGATTTTAGAAATGAAATCTTTAATAAGTTTCTTCTTATAAACTATAATGTTCAAAGCTTAGATATTTGGCACGTAGCATTGTCTAGTAGTCCACTGCAAGTTTTGTAAGTTATACCCCTTGGATCAAAAATGGCTGTGCCCTGGGGTCACTAATAGCTTGCATAGACGTGTATAGTAAAAATATCTCAACAATATTTTTCTATACTTTAGTGCCAAAAATGATATATTGTGCATGTAGCATCACCCCACCAGGGTAAAATATTGCCCTTTCCTGACCAAGTGTAACTTTGTTTAGACTTTTGTAGGAAACATATTTTGAAAATCTCAATGCTACAATGTAGCATTTTCTTAGCAGACCTCTACAATTGTTTTGTTTGTCATCCAGTTGTGAACAAATATAACACTTTATGTCATATGTTAACTTCTCTGTTGAACAATCTAAGTCTATTGCAACCCTCTTGTTAAACACTTACTTTTCTTCACTTTGTTTTGTTTGAGAATCATGATTATTGTTGAAGTACCATTCAGTAATTTTTATACTTTTATTTAGGGCATACATATATTCTGTGAAAAGTGATACATACTTTTAGATATTAACATTTAATTTGATTTGGTAATTAAAATACCCTTACAATTCATGTATATCTGATGTTCTAGTGTACATGTCATATTACATGTATACAGTATATGTTATAAATGTTGATATATACATTTATATAGTGTAATTTTAAATTTCTTTGCTTGCAAAATATTATATTTTAAAAGATTTTTGTCATATATATGTGTCACTATTATATAGATAAATTAAATATTAATAAATTATTATGACAATATTGACATAGGCATTTTGAATAGATGTCCATTTTTGTATTTTCTGATCGCAGATCAGGAAATATAATGCTGACATTCAATCTCTGGCACAGAATTTCACGAAAAACCTAACAACAAGTAGTTCTCAAACAGCTTAAAACTAGCTTGTAAAAGAAAGAAATATTTTTATTTTGTTACAAGTATCCAACAAATTACAACGAATTCAAAGTTTAAAAGTAGCATTGGCTTATAAAATTGTCAATAAATGCACAATCACAAATTTACGCGGATGAATATCATTTTAATCAATGAAAATGCTATTTTTAGCGATGTCGATTACCGAATAGTTCAGAGCGTAGTACACAAATAAATCTGACTGTCGAGTAATGGAATATATACATGTCGGACTGTTTTGGCGAGAAGATTTTCGCTAAATCATTTACATCAGTGTTAAACAACAGGTTTATCGTGAACAAAATACCTCGAAATCAATAAGGATTACAAACCCGAAATGGAAATTCTAAATTTATAATAATTTGATTTTATTCAAACATTCTTTGTAAACTTCCCCCCTGGTGCAGGGAAATTGCGCTCGTTTAGGGTGTGAGAGGTCTGTGGTTCAAATCCCAGTTGAGGCAACTATTTAATTTTTTAAGGAAGTAGCCATGATATACAAGGATAATGTGTGGCTGTCAAAAAATAAAAATGAGCATACATTTTTGATGCAACCCTAATCATGCAAAATTCCGTATGTATCAAACTCAAACTGTTGTAGTAAAAAAAATCTAAACGCAGTCGCTGCATCTCGGTGCCCTGTAAGATGAATAATAGTATATGAAATTAAATTTATACAGAAAAAAACCCCAGATATATAGTATGATTTAGATTGCAAAGATCAGAAAATACCACAGAGCTTGCAGCCTTTGATTTTGTATGTGACTCCCCACTTTTTATTAGATCTAATGAACTCTGGCCAAGACTACCAACTTCAGACACTTCAACGCTCCTTACCACTGTGCAAATGGGTTTAAGACTTAAGATTCTTTCATGCGAGGAAGCTTTTCAGCTATCTTATGGAAGGTTCTGCACAGGAACCCACTTTTGTTTAAAATAATGTAGGCATTCAAGGGAAGTCATTCTTCCCGAAAGACACCATATGATCTTGACTGTCAAAGTGACTTAGAAATCCAATCAACCATGTCAGGTCACAACAAATTACATTAACATAAAAAAACAAATTCATTTTTATCTTTAATAATTTTATAAAAAATACATTCAAAACACAAATATTATAAAAGTGATGACAATGGATACTTTAAATCACATGAACCTTGATGAACATATATGTACATAATTTTTTTATATAAATTCTCTATAGAGAAACCTTCCATAAAGACCAAATATAACACTTTATATGTCAACTGGTGACCATACAATTTCTGAATTACTCAATTCTAAATAAATCATATACAATTTATTTAGAATTGAGTTATTCAGAAATTGTACGGTCACCAGTTGACATATAAAGTGTTATATTTGGTCTTTATGTAATGTCTCGGAAGGTGACCTTTTATATCCATATTTGTAAAAAAAAAGTTAGGTGGCCTGTTTTTGCAGACTACCTGTTAAATAAGGTCATTTTTTTTCATTTCCTAGAACTGAAGTAGTCTTAACAGACAGTTTCCGAACTTTCCTTTATCACAATCTCCATAAAGCTAATCAGTAAAGGGAGACAACTTTCTACAAACTTGATAAGAATTATTCTTGTGAGACAAGTCAATTTTCGTTGTCACTAATTAACCCTTTCACTGCCATAGGAATGGCTTATGCCGTTTCTATAATAATAGTAGTAATGATAATAATAAATTAATAATAATTATAATAAAAATAATAATAAATATAGAGAAAATTATACCATCGACAATAATTATTATTATACTCACAGATCTGGAAACATATATAATTATTATAATACTAATAACAAATAATAATAATTATATTAATTAATAATATAGTAATTTCTTAGAAAACCCTCTGGCAAATAGGTGATCAATAAAACAATAACCCTCTGGCAGCGAAAGGGTTAATATATATGTATGTATATAATATACATGCATATAAGAATAACATGGTAAAATGACTTTTTTTTCATCAAATAAATTCCCTTTCAATGCTATGAATGTTAGATGGTGTTCTCCCAACTTTTTCTAATAACAGTAATTTACATAAACTGACATGGCTTCAGTGCGATAGTTCATGGTATAAACCCAGTTTAGTAAAGTATGGATATGCTACTGATCTAGAGAAAATGCAATAATCCACGGTTCCAATACCATTCTGCAGTTTGACAAAATCTTACTGTTCATCATAGGTATCTTTTTATTGAGTTTTCTTGTACCTAAATTATTTTTAGTAAGACTGTGAAGCCCATTTCAGATATTATAAGCAAACCAAGACATTCTGTAAGCATTCATTAAAAATAAACAACAGAGTGTATTGGCAGTATCTATGTATCGTCGACAGTAAAGAAGAGACATAGTCCCTTTGAAGATTTTAAGAAAAATTTAAGCTAACATCATTGATCCGCTCATAAGACGAAGAAACACTTTTGTCTTCAAAATGGAAGAAAAAATTCCCGTCTTATAGCCGGGTAAATACTTGTAGTTATAACTGACAATAGCTTAAGTATTATGTCATGTTACATGATTATATTAAGTGACTTTTTTCCGAATAATACCACTATCACTTGTAATTAGTACTGCAATATCTAAATATACAATATTGCTGCACCATTATAAACCCGTTACAAACGTTTTTCTCACACACTGCTCATCAAAATATTTTGAACCAGCCAGTCATTTCTGTAACTCTCAGATATTTTGTAAAAACGTTTGCACTCTCATGAATTCCTGGAAAAAAAGATAAGAAAACCTGATTTTTCCAAATAAAACCTTATGAATAAAATATTTTACCTAAATCTCATTTGCTCTATATAAAGAAACTGAAAAAGGAGACATTCCTCAAAAGCGTTTGAAAACAAAAATTTAAAGGCTTGTTTGATTGACTCTGTTCGTGAGTTGCACATCTCTCACGCCCCCTAGCGCCCGCTTAATCGGTATTCAATCATAAACACTATAAACACATTGAAATCAATGACCCAGAAGAACCTGAACAATATAACCACACTGAGATGAAGTAGGTATGGGCAATTTTACAGCTTCAACAAGGCACTTCACACCAGCTGTTGTGAGTATAGAAAAACTATTACGAATGACCATATGAGCCGTGCCATGACAAAACCAACAAAATGGGTTTGCGACCAGCATGGATCCAGACCAGCCTGCGCATCCATGCAGTCTGATCAGGATCCATGCTGTTCGCTTACAAACACTATAACAAGTAGAGAAACTGATAGCGAACAGCATGGATCCTGATCAGACTGCGCGGATGCGCAGGCTGGTCTGGATCCATGCTGATCTCAAACCCATTATGTTGGTTTTGTCATGACGCGGCTCAATTACAACTTTCAAAGCATGTAACATATTTTGCATATATATAAGATATAATACATTACCTGCTGGTTTGTAAATAGAAATGATTGTGAAATATATTGTTTCCTTTGTACTTTGTCAAACCTCCATAAATGTATCACGTGACCTGAAATACAAAATTATGCATGTTCGTATTATGTCAAGTTTTAATCGTGGTCAGATGACATTCCGTGCATAATTTTAGGCAACGGGTAAGACAATCAAACTTGAAGTGTACATACATTTCGAGCAAGCAGTAGGATTAAAGGTTTTAGGGGCTCAGATGCATTGTGAACTTTAAACTATGACCTGGTAATGTAGTCAACAAGTATAACCCCGATTTGATGCTTTTTGCGACGCCTGGCCATACTAATTATTTTTCTGCAACCTAACGTTATTTGTCAATTGATATTTTTGTATATGTTTACCTTCCCGTATTAAGGAACTTCCAAAATTTAACATACCAACTACCGAAATTTAACTCACCAACTACCGAGCTTTGAAAATCTCCGCCTTCGTCGGCAGTGAAGAAAGATCCTTGCGCCGCTGTTATTTGGTCATATTTATGAAGATTAACATAGACATCTTGTTTAACGGGACAGAACAATGAGGTACCAGTAGGCTTCCAGTCTTCCGTTGAAAAGACGTCACAGCCTCCACGTACTGGTAGAAACGAACGCCCTGTAAAAATGTATACTAAATTTTAAACATATATATGGCTTATGGAAAAGATGTTAAATATAATTTTCATGATGGCTGAATTTACTAATCCAGAAAAATGCTCGCAAATGTTTTACTGTTTCCAGATTACTTTCTCATATCAGAGACTTAAAATACTTAAATATAGATGTGTGTTAATTAATAGTGTTACATATAAGAAATGACGCAGACAGAGTATGTCATAAGATATTAATTGCCAAGTAATGAGCTAATCTATATAAAGTGACAATCTCACATTGAAATGTCACTATGTGGGAACATTGGTCAAACAGAGAAAAAAGGCGGAAAGCGTCTCCGTTTTGTTGTTGTTTTTCTTTTTTTGTGGTGTACGTTTAACGTCGCACCAACATAGCAAAGGCCATGTTGCGGCTTTACTGGTTCAGGAAGACGTCACGTACCCGTCTGTTCATTATTTCATGCACAAACGAGCACCTGAGTAGAACCACCGACGTTCCGTCAGCTAGCAGCATGACGAATCCGAAGACACTGGCGCGGGCGGCAATTGGAAAACATATCGGCAAGAAGTCTCTTCAGTGAATTTTATGATACAATAAACATTATGTAAGCACTAGAGTAACGCAAAACCCAACTCAAAGATTCTTATGTTTAACAATGCATCTTTACCTCTTATGAACAACCGCTCTCCCGTTGCGTCCATGGTTTCCTCTATCTTTCTTTTCTTGCTAATTCCGCCAGGCTGGTTATTATTTGCACAGTGTATGCTGTTTCCGTTAAATGCTTTTGTAAAGTTTTCTTGAAACACACCGCTCATCTCTTCGAACGGGTTTGAATTTTCATCACAATCTGCCATGGTGTAAAAAAAACATCATGAATCAAATTTGTGTCTCGTTATGTTTCATGTATATAACTAACAACAAACCTTTAAATCTTTCTAGACCAAATATACAAGGTTATCTATATTTATAAACAATATATCATATAAACTACATGTATCTATCAAATACCTCTCTTCAGTGGCTATAAATATATCTTTAAAAAATTTATCCCCACGACAGACATCCCAAACCAATTGCTTTGAAATGTTTGTATCACTTTAACATTAAATTTAATCAGTTATACAAAATCTAATTTATTTCACCTTTTTTGTATCTAAAGTATGCAATTTTCTTTTCAAAGCGTCTCGGTCCACAGAAAAAGTAAGGTTAACGTACTGTCGACATAAAACGTATGTTGAGTTCAGCAAATCTACTAAACGATTAACCTTGACCGTATTGTGTTAAACTATCGTATTGTAAACAATAATGACCTACTATGGTATATTTACTACAGTTAACTAATTACAAATGAACTTATTTAAATATGAAAAAATAAAGAGTAACGGCAAAATTTCTATCTACCTGAAAGCACATGTACTTTTATCTCGTTAAAAAGCTACCGGTTAACTCAATATAAATGTTATATTATAGATATATGAGTGAAAAATTTCATATAATATACTTTTACGAGACTTGACCTATTTCAAACTACACGTATATCAATAATAGCAACTGCAGACGACATAAACATGCATGATAAATAGAGACAAATATAAAATATATATGAAGTTCCTATCATCTGTTGTTGTTGTTGTTGTGCAGCTGTAAGCCTGTAACCGAAACAAGCAGATCATACTGTTTTCCTTCTTAATTTATGCTAAAAATAAACTCGTATATGATTAAATGACCGGACACATAAAGCAAACAATGTAGTTCTAAATCCGTTAAATTAACTTTTTAAATCCTTACACATAATTTCACTGCAAATTCCGGATGTTTATCATGATTTAAAAGTAGAAAAAAACACTCAGGTGTGTATTTTTGTTAGATTCGGTTACGCCATATGAGACAACGCAATACTACACACTGATAAACTTTTTGTGTTGCTATTTGTGAACAGTGGTTATGCCCATTTTTAGATAAAAATAGGGACATAATCTAAATATAATGTTCCTGTAAAAAGTCCCTATATGAATAACGGAATCATCAGTATTGTAGTAAAAAAATAGTAATGTTATACAGTTGAACATTTTATAGGTATAGTTGCATGAAGTCGTTATAAAAAATATAAATAAAGAAAGAAAAGGATATGACAAATGCCTGGGTCTCCTTCATAGGCACTTGGTTTCGTGATAAAAACTCTTTTTGAGAGGTTTGTAGAACTCAAATTTGATTGAATATAACATTTTTTAACGTAAATGTCTCGATTCTAAAACACTTATTTTTCCGATGTTACTAAAAACATCGGTTAAATGACTGTTTTAGAATCGAGATGTAAACTATAATATCGCGCTCGATCTAATTCTTAAAGTCATGACTTGAGATAGTTAAACTAGTATCTCTGTGTAAAATAAATATTTACCCTACAAAGTAGATCTGTAGCACATTATATATGTAACTGCTCATTTGGGAGTCAGTGATGATTTTCCACTATTCGGAATATTTGCACTAGATATATTTCGGAAAATTGCAAACATTTGTCATGGACATACATTACTATAAAATAGATATCTTAAAATCCTTCAATGAAAAGGTAAAGAAGAAAAAAAAAATGAAAAGAAAAAAAGATTCACAAATATCTGTTGGTGGGGACGTAAACCTTCCAAAGATGGACCGGGACACTTCCAGTCCATAGGTCAAAGAAACTTTCACCGATGTCAACCTCACTCCCTACTCGAGGAAATAGCATGCTTGACTTATTCCTCACTAGTCCTACTCTAGTTAACCAGGTCCATACCCTCCCAGACATCAACTAGTGAAGTGTAAGCCAATACATCCGCAAGGGTAAGTGGTAGCAAGGATAAGTTACCTAGGATCCCCTGAATAACAAGAAAAATATTACATACATTCGTATGTATTATAAGTACGATTGCATACTACTTTTTGTGAAGACTTTATGTTTGCTGAATTAAAGGTGTAATGTAAACTGAACAAACATGTCATGAGATATTTTATATCTTTAAACATTTTCATGGAATGTAATTAATGTATCACCATTATTTTCTCATCTGAAGGCATGCAACTTTAATATGCCATATTAAAGTTACATGCCTTCAGATGAGAAAAATGATTTCAAGGAAATCAAATTATGTAAAGAAAATTCACGGTCAATTGACTGCTTTGAAGCATAATCACAAAATAAAATTACAGGAAATTAAAAACCTTTTTAATACACTTAAGGTAGAATTTCATTGTAAATCATAGTCAAAGATTTGAGATATGATTATTTATTCATATTAACATCATTATTGGTTATATATTGATAAAAAAAACCCCGAAAGACACAGTTTGTAAATATTTATTACAATAAAATATGAAGAAAGTATTCGCGTCGAGGTTAGCTATAACTGGGACATACGATAAGTATCCCAGGCTATAATTAAAATTCCCGCGCTAAGTCGCCGTGGTGCTTGGGATAATCACTTGATACTGTAAATGGCAGCCATTTTACGATACGAATCCTCGGATAGTTTATCCTGCCGAAAAGATATGAAAAATTACTTGCAATTCAAAGTTTGCTGGCTACATAAAGATTATCGATTTACTCTGCCCTGAGTATAATAATATTGACGTGTTTTCATTGGCTTAAACCATCACGTTACCAATACACATGTAGGTGTGAACTAATTTCGTGTTCATTAAAATTATTCCGTTAATAGACATATAACAATCTTATTTACAAATGAATTGATAAAACAACAATCCCAAAAGCATTTAAGATAATAACAATCATTGGAAAAAATAAATGCATATAAATTGTAAATTTGTGTATGACAACTCAACCCCCTAAACAAAACATAATAGACTCAACCAAAACAAGCGCCTGCTTCTTCACCTAACTATGTAGTTGCATGACCATGATTAGCAATTTAGTAAACCAAATCTAAGAGATAAACCTATTGTAAAAATAATACTATGACCACAGCAGATTTCGTACAAAAACTGCAAACTGGTAGGAAAAAATATCGATGAAGGCTTATTGCCATCCAAATGGGAATCTGCACTTGAAGCCTCAATCTTTAAGGCAATCTGCCAAGCCCTGCATATTATAGGCCAATTTCCTTAATATGTGTTTTGTGTAAGGTTTTGGAACACATATAAAATATATAGTTTCTTCTTCAATATAAAACATTTTACCAACAATAACATCGATTTCAGGGAAAAAGGTAATGTGTTCCGAAACTTGTTAAGTTGGTAAATGACCTAGCTGGTCACCTCAGTCTATTATAAGCAAGTAGATTGATTCTTTCAGATTTCAGTAAGGCTATCGATAATCAGTCATAAAAAGTACTGCTAAAAATACACGGCTACGGAATCAGAGGTCAAACTTTAAGATGCAAACAGTTGTGATAAATGTCAGCAGCTTAAACCGATCTCAGAATTCTCAGGCGTGCCTCAAGGCTCAGTCCTAGAACCCCTTCTGTTTCTCGCTTATAGAAATGACCTCCCACAAAACATATATTCCAAGGTCCGCTTCTTTGAAGACGACACTGCAATATACATGCTCTGGCATCTGCACAGCAGTCAGTCACCCTCCAAAATGGCATAAATCGGTAAGAAAAGTGGGAGTTTGGGTGGGATATGGAATTTAACCGCTCCAAGTCTCATGAATACATGTAAGTTATCCACGTCACAAATAGGAAACATCCTATCCCAACAAAATGCTGCCTTCATGGAGTCCAACTGAAATCGATTATCTCCGCAAAATACCTATGAAAACATAACAGGAGATGCCCACATAACAAGGGCATCCAAGTAAGCAAACCAAACCTTAGGATTTCTACACAGAAACAAAGGTTCAATCGAGATTCATTAAGTCCGTTGCTTACCAGACGTAAGTCAGACCTCAGCTTGAATATGGTTCCGAAGTAAGGTCTCCCAACACCAAAATACAAATAGATAAAATTGAAAATGTCCAAAGAAGAGCAGCCCGATGGATGAAGCTATGCTATTGTCAGACCTCCAGCGTCATGGACATGCTTTATGCCCTCAAGCTCCGAAAACTGGAATTCAGAGGTATAGATGCAGGGTTATCCCTTTCTATAAGATTCCCCAGGGTCTGGTTGCTTTCACCAACATCACGCCATGGCCACCCCCTGTGTTATATAGGTTATTCACAGCAACTTGAATTCAGACTTTATTAAATTCTCCTTTCTTAGGACTGTATACATTTGAATTGGAACCACCTTCCCTTAAACATTCTTCATTTAAACATTTTTTTACGCTTTGCGTTTGGTTTTGGCTCGCAGACATGCCTACGTCCCCACGAGGGGATTTGATAGATCTCCGTTTTAATTTAGGTACTCTAGTTTGGTTATCACCAATATTATAAAATTAACTTTCTACAAATACTATAGATCTACAAATACTTTCCGCGTTTTTTCTCTACTCTGGGAATGGTGCCAGTACCAGACTGATTGAGAAAAAATTCGTTATTTTGACTTAAATTGGGAACTTTTTTAAGCATTTTTCAGCTACAAATAAGATTAGTCATCATGAATAAAGATAGCTAACAGCTTCCACTGTCCAGGTAGAACTATCCAGTGATGATTTATATGAATATGTTGGATTTAGATGATTTCAGAGAAATCACATTTCGGAATTTAAACATTCAATGGAAATTTTAATGTCTATTTTCTGTTGGGAACAGTACCGTTTTAGGGTAGTAGTTATACACTGACTTTCTAAAATTGTCTTCCCGCTAGTGTACGAAAATAAGCAAGCACTGATTTTCACAAAAATTAAACAGTTAAACACAACTCGGCATGTTTCTTTAAAATAACTAAGCTAATTCAATGATACTCGAGTTTTGAACTACCGTATACCGGCATTTGAGCTTTAATTAAGCAGTGATATCCGGATTTGTTACGTGATATATCATTCTCTGACACATAAACGGTATTTGCATAAATCTGTGATATAAATTCTAATCTAACTATTGCCATGCACTAAATAACCATTTTATTAAACGATACAACTCATGTCACTCAACAATCGGTGGTTCTTTGTAGATGTAACTTAACAGTTGTTTTACCTGCACTTTAAATTTCCCGCAATTTATAGACACCGGAACCGGAAACGCATTCGGCTACCAGGTGGCATACAACAACAATCTTCCGGTGAATAAGATTTTATGCTTTAATTTATGAAATTTCAAGTGAAACTCATTTTCTATGAATATGTTCCAGATATATTTTGAAGCATCTTTCGTAAAAGAACATGAAAAGCTCATTTCATTTTAGTTCAGCTGCAGAATATGACCAAAATCTGTTTCCTCTTGAAACAAAATTTGGTGGGTGGGGTTGAAAATAAGTCGGGGGAATTTATTCGAGTCATGTTTATTTATAATATTCAATAAGTGCGTAATTTTTACTCCACACGGATTGACAGTTTCCATAGGCTAATCTTATCAGTTGAATTGCGAGTAAATATCTGACTGTATAAAACGTATGTAAAATGGTCTGACTTGTGGTAGTCCGTACAGCGCATTTTCATCGCATCTCCTCCCTGTCATACACCAACGATTCACGGTCCTGATTCCATTTTTCATTACATTTTGTCTCAGGTCTATTCTTTTCATCCTTTTACTGCTGTTCTGCGCGCTCCTAGAGTTTTGTTTTTTCCCAGGTTTGGCACCTTTATTGACGCCATTTTGTTTACATGCGACTTGGATAAAACCTGGGCAGTCAGACCTATCCAGAAAAAAAATCGCCGGACCTCATCAAAATTACCAGACATGTCCGTCGGACCGTGGGACCGACATAATTTGTGGTGTGGCAAAGGTCAAAAATTGAAACAGTCAGGAGCATATTGTTTGAAATCAGGCAATGGCTTAAAACGTGAAGAGAAATAAATTTAAACATTATTAAATCATTTCTATAAACACTATATGTGTAAAGTACACATTTGTAATAAAAAAAAATTTCTTGATCACTTTTAGCAGGCATTGAAAATTTCTTTTTATGATGAAGCTCAGCTGTTTTTCACATTTTGCATTTAATAAGCATGCTAGTTGCTACTGGGTCAATCACAGACTTTAATTGACCTGCTACAGTAAAGTATGTGGGTCAATTTCCAGTGGATTCTGCATGCAGGCTTTTGATTCTCCACACTTCTTTGGTATTGATATATGTGTTAAGTGTTATTGATATACTAGTATGTGTTAAGTGTTATGTTCTTGTCAAACATGTGATTGCATGTACAATGTACTTTGAGGGCGCTGACTTATAGATAACTCTTAGCATTGATTACCACTGAATTATTCCCCTTTTTGTGCAATAAAACATTTCCAGGCTTTTTGCTTTATTTTTCAAACATTTGTTGTGAGAGAAACCAATGATAAAGAATCAATGCTAAAGTTATCTATAGGTCAGTATAAATAAGTTAGCTTAACTTAGCTTGATTTTGGGAAAATAATCACTAAAATTGCTAATTTGGGAAGTAGGAAAAAGCTGGTGTGACTATAATTTCATATTTTTATTGAAAACTGCATGAAGTTTGAAGAAAATTTCTATTTGGAAGAGGCTTATAATATAAAAGGCCTCTGTTATATAAGATTAAAAATCACTGTTTATGTGTTTAACATTAGTATCTTTTTTTTGTAAAATAGTTTTAAATAGTGTGGTTAAGGTTAACATAATCACAGAAATTCAAGGTAGAGTTAATTATTGAATTAGTAATTATATGGTTCTTTTTCTAGAATGCAGAGTTACCAGTCATATTAAAAAATTCACAGAGTAATTGGAGGAGTTCTTTAACCTTACACAATGTCTGCTTCAGCAGTCTACATTCTGGATATGAAGGGAAAGGTAATAAAAAATTTTATAGTTCAAAAAGGTCATCATAAATTTTTGTGATAAAAAAATCAGATTATTTTCCTCTTATTAAATCATATACATGTAAATGATTGTAGATTGTTACTATAGAAACACTTAACTTGCTGAATTTCACTTAAGTTATTTGCCATGCCTAGTCAGATGGCATGGATGTGCAGGCCGGCCTGACACTATGCTGGTGATAAAGGCCTAACACCTTCAGTTCCAGGTTATGTGTTTTTAAAAATAAAAAAATGATTTATATTTTATTGTTGCAGGTTCTGATATGTCGGAACTACAGAGGGGATATAGACATGTCTGTGATAGACAAGTTTATGCCAATGGTAATGGATATGGAAGATGAAGGGCAGATGTCACCTATTATCCAGCATGGAGATATAGCTTTTATTTATATAAAATACAACAACCTATATCTAGTGGCATCATCGAAGAAAAATGCGAATGTTGCTCTGGTGTTTTCATTTCTACATAAATGTGTACAGGTATTGTCATATGTGACTTGTATTTGTAAATAATGCAATTTATGTATTTGAATCACAGAAATTTATTGAAATCTATAAAATTCTTACTGAATATTTTTAATTTGAATAGAACAATGAATAAACTATGTATGGAAGCTGCTTTCCCTATTATAGGTCAAGTAAAGTTGTTCCTTTTTTACACAAAAGATTTCCCTTTCAGATATTTCTAGAATATTTCAAAGAGCTGGAAGAAGAAAGTATACGAGATAACTTTGTGCTGATTTATGAACTGTTGGATGAGGTCATGGATTTTGGCTTCCCTCAAACAACAGATAGTAAAATTTTACAAGAGTATGTATCAATGTGTTGTTTTGGAATATCAAATAATATTTCATTTAAACATAATTTTTGAACACAGGTATTCAGAAGATGAATCTAATTCTTCTTATGAAAGACAAACACTCATTCTTTAACTAAAATAAGCATTTATGGTTGGCTGTTTTTTTAAGTAAATGAGTTATGTTATCAGAGTGGTACGCTTGATAATATTTTCATATGAGCTCTCTGGTTTACAAATGGCATCCCTAAGTTGGTTTTCCAAGGAGAACTAGGGTGGGTTAGAGATCCTTGTTGTCTTTCTCCATTGTAAAAACAAGGGTAGAAATTTTTTGAGAAAAAGACTAGGATACAAATTTTTTATCGTTAAAAAAACAATACGGACTAAGTTGGTTGATGTATATCACGAAGTAATGTATTTTATATTTGACATATTTCAATTAAAGGTACATCACTCAGGAGGGACACAAAATGGAAATCGCTCCCCGTCCACCTATGGCTGTAACAAATGCTGTGTCGTGGAGATCTGAGGGACTCAAATATAGAAAGAATGAAGTGTTTCTAGATGTTATTGAATCAGTCAACTTACTGGTAAAGTCACACTTGAACAATACCATTTTCTAAGATAATTAAAAAAAAGATAATGTCGTTTGAATAAAAATCATATTGTTGGAACAATGAAAAACCTTACCAAGTCTTGTTTTATATGTGATTTACCACTTGCCCATTGCCACTGTAGGTTTGAATCTTGCCAGGAACTTTTTATTATACCCCCACACAAAATGTGGGGGGGGGGGGCTATAATGGATTCGCTTTGTCCCGTCGGTCTCCATTTTCGTGTCCGCTCTATAAATCCTATACCAATTAAAGGATTTTCTTCAAACTTGGCTCAAATGTTCACCTCAACAAGAGCATGTGCAGAACCCATGTTGCCCATGTGTCAGCTCAAGGTCAAGGTCACAATTGAAGGTCAAATATCAAACAATCAAATATTAGACAGTATGTCGTGTCCGCTCTGTAAGTCCTACACTAATTAAGAGATTTTCTTCAAACTTGTCTCAAATGTTCACCTCAACAAGGGCATGTGCAGAACCCATGTGTCTGCTCAAGGTCAAGGTCACAATTGAAGGTAAAATATCAAACAATCAAATATTAGACAGTATGTCGTGTCCTCTCTATAAGTCCTACACTTATGAAAAGATTTTCTTCAAACTTGGCTCAAATGTTCACCTCAACAAGGGGATGTGCAGAACCCATGTTGCCCATGTGTCAGCTCAAGGTCAAGGTCACAATTGAAGGTCAAATATCAAACAATCAAATATTAGACAGTAGGTCGTGTCCGCTCTGTAAGTCCTACACTAATTGAAAGATTTTTCTTCAACAATGGCTCAAATGTTCACCTCAACAAGGGGATGTGCAGAACCCATGTCACCCTTTTGCCGGCTTATGGTCAAGGTCACACTTGAAGGTCAAAAATTGACTTAGAAAAATATTATTAAATTTTAACATGTTTTGAATATTTCTGAAACTAGAAAAGGTATTTGCTTGAAACTTAAAATGTATATGAAGTGTCACAATGAAGATATGCAGGTCAAGTTTCATAACTCTGTATTGCATTTTAACAAAGTTATGCCCCTTTTTAAGTCTTCAAATTTACATACAATCAAATATTAGACAATATGTCGTGTCCGCTCTATAAATTTTATACTAATGGAAGAATTTTCTTCAAACTTTACTCAAATGTTCACCCCAACTGGGTAATGTGCAGAACCCATCTTACCCTTGTGCCAGCTTAAGGTCAAGGCCACACTTGAAGGTCAAAAATTGACTTAGAAAATGTTTAGTTCATTGGAAAAATGAAAGGTTATTTGTAACTTATTCGAACATCATTTGACAATATATATTTATACTATTACCTGTACAATTTGTCTTTTTTTTCACCAGAGATAATTTCTTTTTATGTATATGTATTTGTGCCACTAAAGTTATTCCCTTTACCACCTTCCCAAGTCCTCTTCTGTCAAGGACATTGGTGGGGGTATGAATCGCATTCATCGATAGTTCTAGTTATTTCTTGTGATCTAAGAATTGTTGGTAGTTTTAGTCAGATGCCAAACTGAGTTCTTTTTCTATCAGTTAGGCTGGAATTCAATTTGTATTTTATTCAAATAAATGAATTACAGAAGTCAGTCAACCTGTTTTATTGATACATGTACATGTATTTAAATATTTAATACTTAAACAAATGCACAGTATGTAGTTAAGCAGAGGGCCTAGTTGTTGTATTAAGCTGTCTACTGGCATGCGAGCAGTTCCCGTACAAAAATCGTAGTTATTTAAACATTATTTTTTATTACGCTCACTCACCAAAATTTGAATGTTACACATCAATATTCGGCTCGTCACACAAATCATGGAAATTCCATCATGTTCTAAACATAGAATAACCCTTAGTTATGAGGCCTCATATGGGGTACCGAAATTATCCATTATTTTGTATGAATAGAAGTAGTTCCCGTACATAAAATTTAACCCATTATAATTATACAATTTTATTATATCGGACCTATTTTTCATTTATAATTGTTGAACAGACCATTTTCTAAGAGATAACTAGATGTAATTCAGGAAATAGAAAGTAGACTAAACGCGTGCATCTATTACCCGGTACCGTTACCCCCAACGCATTCACATGCGATGGCATGCTTGTATGCATGATATTTTACGCATCAAAGCCATAAAAGTAATATTGGTCAAAATTCTGATAATTAAACAAGTTTTCATCACATTGCCTACTTATCAGTAAACAGCTGGTATTAGTGTAAAACCCTTTAACATGCCTCACGTTTAAGTATTTTTGCGCATGCGCGCAAGGACGAAATCCCCCAGATAAAAGAAGGTCACGTTTTGACAACGCACAGGTGAAAGTGATCTAAAATGAGACTTTTTATACGTACTGCCGAACTGACACTTAGATTTTGTCTCGTTTATGTATCTGTTTGATTTGAAATGAATTTTTGAAGAATGCAAGTAAAAATCAAGCGTTAACATGAAAAATACGGGTACTGCTTCTGTACGGGAACTGCTCGCATGCCAGTATGGTTTGTAAAAATTTTATGTAGCTTTAGTGTCAAAGTACATATAATGTATATATATTTTTTGATATATTAAAGGTGAGCGCAAATGGCAACGTGTTGCGTAGTGAGATTGTAGGAGCCATCAAAATGAGGGTGTACCTGTCTGGCATGCCAGAACTGAGACTCGGACTTAATGATAAAGTGCTGTTTGAGTCAACAGGAAGTGAGTCTATGCATAAATATTAGTTGCCATGTTCTGGCAATATATAATTGATTTGGAATGTTTGGAATTAGAAAATGATAACTAGGCTAAATAAAGTACAATAATGATTTATCAAAGATTTTTTGGACACTGAAAATAAGGCCAGATGAAGTACAATATGCATTTGATCCAATAATGATTTATATTTGAACATCATGTGATATAAATGCTGGAAGTTCATTGGTTACATTTTATGAGGTCTTACAAAAAGAATTATATAATTTTATATTAATTTGAAATTCTTTTTTGAACTTCACCTGTTAAATTCCTATTTTTTATGATATGAAGGAATTAAACAGAATGCATTTTAAAAATTTAGGGATTGCACATTTTATAACATCAGCTAGTTTAATGGGCCGTCGGTGAGCTAGTTATGGTCATAGAATGTAACTTTTGCTAAATGTGTGGTGTACTTGTGTATTCCATTTGGTCATCCTTATAGACAACTTTAAAGGCCCAACTGCACTATAAAAGCCAGCAGATGGCGCTAGGGCAGGTTTCTTATTAATTTTATGCATGCTTCACTTCAGGGACCCTTTTTCAAAGATTTAAGATTAATTACCAAATGCATTTAAACAACACTTGGCATGTATGTAGGCATAGATATTCTTGATATAGATTGATTAAAATTATTCAAAATAAAACTTTGTTAAGAGTGTTTCTGGAAAAAAATACTGGCTGTCAAATTTGAAATTTGAATTTCCCTGGGAGGAGCCAACTGATCATTACAGGTCATGAACCTTCAGTAGTAAACAGAAACACGTGGCAGTGTTTATTTCAGTGAGAGAGATTTGTAGCAGACGATATATATTTCAGGGAGGTAGATTTTCAGCAGACGACACATTCGAATGCTGAATACATGATAAGAAAAAAAAACAATACCTTTTACTGATCTTACTTTATCAAAAAGTATTTATATCCAACAAATTTACAATAATCCATTAATCTATGATTTTTTTTTTAATTTCAAAGTACTGATTCAACTTGTATTTAAATGGTTTAAACTTCATGAAAACAGTAAAATTAACTTCCAGGTATATTTCATTTACACTATATTTTGTTGTAAATATCTTGAAGTCAAAATTACATTTCACAAATGTTTATCAAACCAAATGTTGCATTTGTATAAAAATTTTATATATTAATAGTTTAAAAATATTTTAAATTCCTGTCAAGATCATTTTTAGCAGGTTTTCTTAAAAGAAATGTCCCATGTAAGGCACATCCTTTGGATTTGGATATAGTTGTCTGACTTGATGCAGGACACAGTCAGGCATAATTTCCCTTACAGTCAGTTCAACATGTGCTGCAAGCATAAGTCTCTCCTTTCTTTCTAAATATACACTATTGCTCCCAAGTCCCCTTCTGTCGAGCATAGTCCAGTATTTTCTATAAAGTTTTTTTCTTATTAAGTTATTTCCTGGTCTTGCTAAGCGACCATCTCCTAACCAGGCCTGAGGACTTGCAGTCACACAAGGGGAACTAAGACAGTGGTGACAAACATCTGTATTACCGGTAGCCAGTTCAGATGATCCATTTTGTTGATCTGTTGACATGTTTGCATTTTCTTCAGAAATTTCTTTTTCGCAAACATCTGAGTTTACTGACTTAGTCTCAGTGGATGTTCTGCTCAAATTTTGATACTGGGTACTTGTTGCTTCATTATCGTCATCACTTGATATTTCAATATCCCACCCATGAAAATTGAATATTCCACAAGTAATTTCTTTCTGTTCTTCTGTCATATAAATCACATATCTCTTTTTCTTATTATCCTGTGCCATTTTTTAGAATTCAAATTTGTACGAAATATATAAAATCAGATTATAACAGCTTAAAGATTTGCACTATTTCCCTCCAAAACAAGCATCCTATGTGAATTTTAATTCTACATGGCAGGCCATACAATGAACAATTATACTTCATTGTGACAGCATCTTAATTAGGTGTTGGCAGATTAAAATGTTTCCCAGCAGAGTTTACAGTTAAAACAATGTGAAGCTGATATCATTTTCATTTGTGTGAATTCATTAGTAAAGTCAGGTATACAATATAGTGATAAACATGGATGATAACCATAATCAACAAGTTGAAGATCATAATAATGGAATAAAAAGAATACGCTTGGAATTACGTAAGGAGCCAAAAGCCTATCCATCAAATTCTGGTGAAAAAAAGACGTGCAAGAAATAAAGAAAATAGACAAATAAATAGAAAATCAAGAGGCAAATTGGAGTACTATTACAATGATGAGTCAGAAAAAACTGAATTGTTTAACAAAATTGACAAAATAAAATTGTTTCTTGGTGGAGGACAGTTTAATAAAATATCGACGTTTTGAGCTACTCCACAGGCTTTGTGATTTTTTTACTTCTCTGAATCTACCCGTTGAAGATAATGTGACAAATGAAAGTTTAGACTTTGAGCCAGAATATCAATATTGCACCTTGGAAGATGCAAAAACGGAAGACATTTTATAGGATGTTTATCATCAGTTCAAAAAACTTATAACACAAGTACAAGCCCATGATATAAAATGCAAGGAAAGATTAAGTCTTGATAAATCAAACAACAAAAAAAATGCATGGGTAATGACTGCCAATATCAAATGTAAGGAGTCCCATGCCTTGAGCTGGACGTCCTCTCCACACATGGGAAACGGAAAGTTTTTAGCAAGTTACAAATTTTGTCATGGTTATTTTTTCCAGCGGCATACTACCTAACCAATTTTAAAAACTGTGTGAAGCTTCAGATATTGCAGATTTTGGGGAAAATATATTTCTGAAATGATGGAGACTTACAAAGGAGCTGTAGAGAATGAAGTCTTAGAATCTAAAAACAATGCTCTTCAAGATGAAATTGCCATGACCGCTGCACTTTTGCCTGATGATGAAAATACTGACAGGAATAAATATTGTTTACTGATGCCGCCATTGTTGGCGCAAGAATGCAAAGTTCACTGATGTTGTCTGTCTTTGGTAAAGCAACAAACAAGTGCATTCAAGTTGAGACAGTCACCAAGTCTGATGATCCCAGCTCTCAACGGCATGAACTTGTAGGAGTACGACGCTTATATGATTATCTTGACCAGAAGGACTGCCCAGTAAACATCCATGCACATGACAACAACAACCAAATAACTAAATATGTCAGAGAAGAAAGAAGCCCAACAACGAATGCAAGTGATACTTGGGATATGACCAAGGGCATAGCTAAAGCTGCAAGAAAAATAACAACAGGCTTCAAATCAACACATGGAGTTGTGTGGCATGAGGAACTGTCTGACAAAGCTGCTGCATTAAAAACTCACACATTCCATTCAATGAAAAACTGCCAAAATAATCCCGAAATTCTACGAAAAAACATACTTAACTTTGTTGACCACTACAAGGGCAGTCACGACAATTGTCTACCAACTTCTCGATGCAAAACAGATCCACATTATGAATGTTCCAAATACACCATCAAAGATGAAAAAGCTGTTTCTATTCTTACAAATTTTTTAAAATCAATGCCAGTATACAAAGATGCAGAAAAGTATAGATACTGTATGGACACTCACTACGTAGAATCATTTAATAATGCATTATTACAGTATGGAGACAAAAGAATATGTTTTGGATTAGATGCCTACAAAATCAGGATTAACCTGGCTGTCCTTGACTGGAATGAAAATGTGAATCGCCCTCAAACATCAGAAAGGCAGATTCCATATAAAAGAGATCCTTCAAGAACATACAGCATTCCAGTGAAAAAAAGAAAAACAACTGCCTTCAAAAATAATATCTGGACAAGATGGCTTGATAATGTCTTTTAATTAATCTGATTAATCTGTGAGTTATATAAAACATCCATTAAACCTCTCCTGTGTAAAATCAGCTGTTTTTGTTTACATTCTCCCTGCAGGTTAACACTGCATGCTATTTTTAGCTCAGGGTTTATAACAGACAGTTTTACATCACTGATTAGTCACACCCACAAATACTCGCTGCCGCGGCAGCGAATGTTGCCCCTTTAATTTTATTGCAATACTAATGGAATATGATAAATATTCATCCATGTAGCTATTTTTAGAAACAGTAAATATTTTAACATACATGTGCTCTTTATACTGAAGGAGGAAAGAGCAAATCTGTCGACCTGGAGGACACGAAATTTCATCAATGTGTGAGATTATCTCGATTTGAGAATGATAGAACAATATCCTTCGTACCTCCTGACGGAGAGTTTGAACTGATGTCCTACAGACTTAATACACATGTAAGTTGACTAAATATTAATGTAAGTATGACATTTGCAGGGTTTTTTTCTTCTGTAGCAGGAACTGTTTAAGGACAGCTTTCCCTAAAGAAAAATTCTTTAAGATCATGCAGTTTTCCCTAAAAATTGAATTCTTTTTCTTCCCTCTTTACAAAAATATTGTATTATTTTCCCCCAAAATTAGGGGAAGGGCAGCTTCCACAGGCCTTGTTTTGTTGGCATTTGCAACTCAGTTGCTTATGTTGAGGGTTTGGAATCACCCGACACTGCTGTGGGTTCATAATTAATAGCTTAAACAATTGACATTGACAACTGCAGTATAAAATGTTATTTGTAAATTCAACTGGTCATTTGATGAAATATTGTTTTTATGCAAGTAATATAAATAAAACTAGTGACTCTGAATGTAAGAGTAAATTTAACTCGTCTGTTTACAAGAAAAAGTCACGCTATTATTATTGCCATGTTGTCTTTGTCGTTGTCCTCAATGTCATCGTTTTATGTAACGAATTATTATAACATTTTTGTGTGATTTTATGTCACACATTTTAATGATCAGATAAGAAATTGTGCTGTTACTTATATCAATTATTTACAGATGTTCATAATTTATTTTAGGTTAAACCTTTAATTTGGGTGGAATCAGTTATCGAAAGACATGCCCATAGTAGAGTAGAATATATGATAAAGGTGAGTAATTCTCAATATCACTTTGTGTATGATATGTACTATCAAATCAAGAAACAAGGGAAAGATCCAGTCTGTTAACAGTCATCGAATTTAGCACTGGCCCGGTGGCCTATGGCCAGTGAAAATCAGTTCGACCAGTGAAAATTAGTTTCGGGCTGGTGTAAATTTTAAGAAAATTTAGTTAATTATGTTGTAGAATAAGTTCTAAACTGGAATTCGGGCCAGTAAATTCAAAATCTTAAATTCAATGACTGTAACAGTTAAGATACTGACAAATTTATCGTTGACATGGAAATAACAAAGAATTTTCTCACATTGAGTGACATGTTTTAGAGGTGGGCTGCTTGCCTGCATTGTTGCCTAATGACATCTCACACCATATGTTCGTTTTATAAGACTTAGACTTTATTCTTGAGATATGTTGCTCATAATTTTATCATTTCATGTTAATCATTGACCAGATGTATTATTTTTTTCTCAAAGTAGATGTTACAAAATTATAAATAGTGTTAACAGCTATTAAGTCTGCCATGTTTTGGCCTCTATTGCTCACTGGTTCAGGTTGATGACTTTAAAACACTTGGCTCTCAATAATATAGTTGTGATTTCTATCAGTGACTGAATTTTCCTTGTAACTAAGCCATCTGGCTAACTAATGGGTGCTTAATTGCTCCCTTGGGTACCCTTTTGTTCCTGAAATAATGTACAGAGGGAAATCCGAGATTTTTCTACATAGTAAAGCTAGAGAATGGCCATATGACCTTTATATTATAGTCTGTGTGACTTAAACCCCTACAAAAAAAATAAGTCGGCCATATTGAGACTGACATTTTTGCACCATAAGTTATCATTTTGTATTAACCTGTATACCTTGAACAAAGGAATGGTTTCTTCATTTATCTTCTTATTTTTTTAAGGCAAAGAGTCAGTTTAAGAGACGATCGACAGCTAACAATGTGGAGATAGTGATACCAGTACCTCCTGATGCAGACTCTCCCAAATTTAAGACAACAGTCGGAAGTTGTAAATATGCTCCAGAAATGAATGCTGTACTGTGGACTATTAAATCTTTCCCTGTAAGAATAAATTCAAGATGGTTGCTTTGAATCAGTTTCCTGTACTAGTATATTAGTAGTTGTAAATTGATTTGTAATATAGTTATATACTGTTTGTCAATATATCAAAAATAAAATGTTACATTCATTACTGCTGTTAGAATTTAATATTTAATTGATATAAAAAGGTATAAAGATGATCATTAAAGCCTTGTTTTCTCACTCTATTCTATTTAAATGTTTATGATTTAAGGTCTTCATCATTTATACACTTGTGTCTCTGGCTTCACTTCGGTCAAAATTTCCTTCTGGTTCATGCTAGGAAAGCTTGCATATTGTAAGCATATTATTTTTACATAAAAGTTTTTCTCACAGGTGATTATTTTTATTTACAGGGAGGCAAGGAGTATTTGATGCGTGCACATTTTGGTTTACCTAGTGTAGAGAATGAGGACCAAGAAGGACGTCCACCAATCAGTATCAAGTTTGAGATTCCTTATTTCACTGTATCTGGAATACAGGTAATGTACATGTATGACAAATGTATTTCTGTTTCACAAACAACAAGGAATATTGTTAAGATTGAGTATATTTTTCACTACATGAATATACAGTTGACTCTCGGTAACTCGAAATCCAAGGGACTAGGTATTTTACTTCGAGAGAAACGGAATTCGAGTAACGTGGAACTACCGCCATTACGTTGACTTCGTATATGTATATACATGTACCTGATTGAATGTGCAAAGAAGTAGGTTTCTTATTGTTGTTAGCGGCAATGCTGCAATATTTAACCATTGAAATGACGGTAAATCACTTTCAACTACAAATTATAAATGAACAAAAATATATCATTCAAAATTTGATACATGTATATTAATAGTGAAACATAAACACACAATTATATTTGATTTAATTGATCATCGGACGAAAACGAAATTACCAACTATCGTGAATCGGAAGTACAAATTAATGTATGCAATATGACGGAACATTAATTATACAAATATCATTTACGTTGATAATACACATCAATACCTAGGCTGTTATTTGACTAAACTGTAATTTGACTAACACCCGTCAGACTGGCACGAGTAAACTTTTTTAAAGAAATGTAATTAAATTTTAATTTAGTTATCTAACTGTTAAAACCAATTAAGTCGTGAAACGGATTAAAGACACTTTTACGACGTGTTAATAATACATGATGACCGGCAATTAAAACCTCTCACCTTGATGTCGCCAACCTTTGATCAGTCGGCTGTTTTCACACTTCGACTAATTGAGATGAAAATATGTGGACTTTAATTGACGGGACCAAATTTTCTTTTCGACTAAACAGGAGTCTCGGTAAGTCAAAATTTGACCTAAGCGGAGTTAAAATACAAATATAAAGAAGGACATTTGACGGGACTTTAGGAATTATTCGACTTAGGCGGAATTTTGAGTAAAGCGATTTTGACTTATTGAGAGTCAACTGTACAGTGTAGGATAATATGAACATTTTAACCATAGTCCTATGTTCTTAATATTTGCAGTCACCCAGAAACTAAAACCATGATGGTTTTGTTAAATAAGAATTTAAGTGAACTATGCCAGACAATGTTCTCTTGCATCATCTTGTAGGTATACATATTAATTACTGTAAAATTTATACCAAAACTTCAATTTATCTATTAGAAGCGACGTTTTGTATAATTCTACAAGATAGGGCATCCATTGTCGAATCGTTTAGGTTATTGGCTTCAAACCACTTGCCTTTCACTGCTGTGGGTGCAAATCTTGCTAGGGACTTTGAATGCTCTATCCATATAGCTTACAAAAAATCAGTGTTTCTACACAGGTGCCCGCTTGTGGCTGAAATAATGTACAGATCAGCACCTTAGGTCACCCTCTACCTGTAAAGCTGGAAAATTGTCATGTGACCATCACCATGTTGGTGTGACTTAAAATTCAGGGGTAAAAGGATAGTTAAAGGGGGTTATTGTGACTAATTGTCTCATAAACTCATGTCACCAACATCTGTTGAGGATGGGAGTATTTCTTACAAGAGTTTGATATTTGAAATAGGTTTGTTAATCTGCAAGTATGCAGCTTTCAATTGAAACAAAATTTAAAAAAAACTAAGTGAATGGGTTTTTCAAGACATAATCATTGTCATATTTTGATCGATGTAAGTCATGTTAAAGTTGGCAGTTTTCCTTTTGAAATAAATTTTAGCTGGGATTTCATAAAATATTTTGAATAATATCAATCTTTGCTTTTATACCAGGTTCGTTATTTGAAGATCATTGAAAAAAGTGGCTATCAAGCTCTACCATGGGTTAGATATATAACTCAAAATGGGGACTACCAACTGAGGACGAGCTGAGGGACGAGGTAGCCATTTCTCCACTACAGCCAGAGACTATAACTATAGAACACCACAGATGATCAGATCTGCACATATTACCTGTTAAAATTTGTGATAAAAGTCCTCCTGAAAACTGTGCAATGTTTCTCTGAATAAATTCTATTCATGTTTTACCAAAGTAGTAGTGTATAACATGAATTGTAGAATATCATATACTTAAATGAATTGTGTTTTATTTAAAAAAATCTTCTTGGATATTGATAATTATACCCCCACAAACGAAGTTTAGGGGGGGTATATAGGAGTCAGCTTGTCGGTCGGTCGGTCGGTCGGTTGGTCGGTCCGTCCGTCCGTCCGTCGGTCGGTCCACATCATGGTTTCCGGACGATAACTAGAGTTTGGAATGAGGTATTGTAATCAAACTTGGTATATAGCAACCTTATGTGGAAACTCTGGTTGGTATTGCATTTGGACCCCCTGGGGTCAAGGTCAAGGTCACCGTTACTAAAAATAGAAAAATGGTTTCCGGACAATAACTAGAGTTAGGAGTGAGATATTGTAAACAAACTTTGCGTATAGCAAGCTTATATGAAGACCTGGGTTGGTATTGCATTTAGGCCCCCTGGGGTCAAGGTCAAGGTCATGGTTACTAAAAATAGAAAAACGGTTTCCGGACAATAACTTGAGTTAGGAATGAGATATTGTAATCAAACTTGGTGTATAGCAAGCTTATATGAAGACCTGGGTTGGTATTGCATTTGGACCCCCTGGGGTCAAGGTCAAGGTCACCGTTACTAAAAATAGAAAAATGGTTTCCGGACAATAACTAGAGTTAGGAATGAGATATTGTTATCAACTTGTTGTTTAGCAAGCTTATATGTAGACCTGGGTTGGTATTGCATTTGACCCCCTGGGGTCAAGGTCAAGGTCACTGTTACTAAAAATAGAAAAATGGTTTCCGGACAATAACTTGAGTTAGGAATGAGATATTGTAATCAAACTTGGTGTATAGCAAGCTTATATGAAGACCTTGGTTGGTATTGCATTTGGACCCCCTGAGGTCAAGGTCAAGGTCACCGTTACTAAATATAGAAAAATGGTTTCCGGACAATAACTAGAGTTAGGAATGAGATATTGTAATCAAACTTTGTGAAAAGCAAGCTTATTTGGAGACCCCGGTTGGGATTACAATTAATTGAAATATTTCTTTGTACAAAGTTGATAGTATGTGTTGAAATTTTTCTTCAGACTACTTATTTTTCAAAAAGTTGCTGGTGGGGGTATTAATCACCTTCAGTGATAGGTCTAGTTTATTTTTGTTACACACTGTATTACTATTGTCATGACCTGTTTGTTGGCATTGGTTAACCTTTTCATTAAGGAACTATATAAGCTATTCAAACTTGGTATACTTGTTTATTGGCATATAAAAAATGCTTGTTTCATAAGGGCAGGTAATCCTAAAAATATTTTTACAAAGTTTTACCGATTTTTCTATATTAGATCTACTTATATTCTACCATCCAGCACTGAGAAAAGCGGAGCATGCTGTCTATAGACAGATCTTGTTTATGTCTTTACAAAACGTATACAGTGTGTAAAACTTACATATTTTAAAACCCATTCTGGATTTGATAAAGCAACGTTGTATAAGTAATAAATAATCAATTAGACAATGAAGTAATAAACTTATTTTTTATGTGGATTAAATGATAGAGTGCTTCAAGTGTTCTTAAAGTTTCATAAATACCATGTTTATATAATTGTAAAATGATATCCTTCCCAATTTATTTTTGCTCTATCCCTACTGTCTTCAGTTGGATAAGATATGCAGGAACCCAATTTGCAATGTAATCTTCTTTATTTTTACCTCAAAAAGTTAATATACATGTATATTTAATGAAAAAATGTTTAATTTCCTTTTCAGAGTTATGAACTCTATTTTTTTGTGGGGGGGGGGGGGGTAGTATAAAACATTTTTTTTTTCAAATTTATGTACATGTATATTAAAAAATTTATTATACACATAATGTTAATGAAATGTCAAAATTTAATGATTAATAAACCCTTTATTATTTGTTAATTTGTGAACATTCAAAAAAGAGTTAATATATATGTAGCATTAGGAATTTAAGAAAGTTTTGAGCATTTTCTTAATTTTAATATTCTATGTTAAATGCATTCCATGTTTAACTGTTTAAAAAAGTGAACAGATGTTTTTTTTATATCATATTTATTCATGTTACATGTAAACTTCATATCTAGGCAGTGATAATTAAAATAATGAAGTTTGTTATTAACAAACTGTATAACACCCCTCTCATTTTTTGTTGTGAATTTGGAACATGCATGTTAAAACATGCTATGTCCATAGCTTGTATCATTATCAATAAATGGTAACGTTTAACTTTGGAGTTATTTCCTGTTTTAATTGATATCCTGCGGTAAGCTCGTGAAATTAATGTTCTTTGTTTTCAGTGTTGAAAATAGTCCCAAAAAGCCATGTTACTCAATATTATAGAGTTTTGATACAGCTAACAGAACTTGATAGGGGAAGAGGTGACCTTGATAGGGGAAGAGGTGTTTTTTATTAAGATGTTTGCCTCTATTCAGTACATGTTCGTTACTTGATGAATTTAGGTCACATTCATCCTGATGTTGCTGAGCAGTTTGAAAATTGACGTTTTGTAACGAGCAAATCTTATGATTTCTCCTTGAAACCCATTGACCAACTCGTGAACAAAACAATTAACTTGTGAAAGGTGATGGTGCTATTGGCCTTACTGAAAACTCGAACCAATTGTTACTATGGATGGTATCAGGACCAGAGAAAGCAAGAGCTCTTCAAGAATTTGAGAGAGTGCGGGATAAGAAAAGGATAAAAAGTTCATGTTTCATTTTACAGTAAGTCTTGTGTTTTTGGCAGACATGCTGAATTCATTTTCAATATTGCTTCACTTGCTATATACAGAGTTAAGTGAGCAAGGTGACATTTACAACTTATAATGCCCGCCTTCGAAGAAGGGCTGATGTCAGTCGAGATCTGTCTGCCCGACGGTAGACTATATAGTTTCCGCTGATTATCTATCACAAAATCTTCATACTTCACATACTTATTGGTCAATAGTAATACATTTTTTGGGTTACTTGGTCAAAGGTCAAGGTCACAGGGGCCTTAAATGGCAGAATGGTTTCCGCTCATTATCTTGAAAGCTATTTATCACATTCTTCATATTTTATGGACTGGTTGGTCATAACTAGTAAATGACCGCTATTGATTTTGGCGTCACTAGGTCAAAGGTCACAGGGGCCTTAAATGTCAGAATGATTTCCGCTTGTTATCTTGGAAAGAATTTATCACAAAGTCTTCATATTTCACATAGTGATTGGTCATTACTAGTAGATGACCCCAACTGATTTTGGGGTCACTAGTTCAAACGTCAAGGCCACAGGGGCCTAAAATGTCAGACTTAAAATTGTTTGATTAACATACTTTATGCCTGTATTGGAAGTCTCTGTTGCAGAAGAAATGTTTCCATTATACTTTCCAAAACATTAATCGGAAATTTAATTATTGAATTTTACAAGAACATTTTATTTTGATACTACTTTAAATTGAGTTTAATCATATAATATGATGCGCCGAGAAAATGTCCATTTCTCCGGCATATAATCTTTCAATAATATGACACTTTATTCAATATATATAATAAATTCTATTTTGTGAAATAATTGTAATTTATAAACATTCATCGTGCCTTTTATGCAAATATATCTCCAAATATTTTCGGATTAAACAAATCCTCCACGGCTGGAAAAGACCTCTCGCATGTTTCTTTTTAAAGAAGCTAACTTGTAAATCTAACTGATCAGCAGTTTTTCATTACGTTTAACTTAAATGTCTCCAAATGTGCGCAGTACGTTAAATGTGCTGTTTAAACAGATCAAGTTATTATATAGGAAAATGAATATTATTTTCTCTGTTTAACCAAATTTGGATGTTTAAGAAACTTTGTATTATATATAACACAACATAAGATATACAGGTGGTTATATACTTTTTATTCCTCCAATATTGAAGAAAAATTTTAAAGCACGTTATGCTTTGTTCAATGTCATTTTTGCATGTTCACACCTGTAAATGGTAGTTCGACATGCCAATAGGTAATTTCTTTCATTTGCATCATAATTGTTCAATGTAGGCCACACTACGTAACTTTTCGGATATGGTACACCCGATTCAGGCCAAAGGTGTTCGGCGCGTTGATTGGCCACTATACCCCCCCCCCCCTCTACAACCCTCCTGCCTCTCAAAAACCATGTAAACTGTATGATTTTTCATTTGAAACAGGTTTTAATATTTGGTATATGCTTTTAATTCAATTTCCTTCATTTACCACAAAATAAAATAAAAAAATTGATACATATATATTTAGTAAAGGTAAGTAGCTCCCGTCATTTTTAGCACTGTTCTTAATATGAACTCCATAACATTTTTTCACCAATTTTCAAAGTCTTGGTACCAAATGGTAGGGAATTGATAACTCGAAAAGAATAAAGCTGTCATTACAATCATTTCAAGTTATAAGAAGATATATAATCTCGAAGTCACCGCATGTGTAAGTCGACAGAGACCTGACAGCTTGGTTTTTTGTCAAAATTACCCGACTTAACGGCATTTTATTCGAAATCAATGAATATATTTTTTTTTGTATTGCGCATATAAATATGATAAAATTATATAATTATTTGTAATAACTGTTCAATCCACAGACACTTGGGGTTTGGAGCTCAAAACGCCTTTAAAATCCAAATAAAATGCATATTTGTCAATCCCAGCACATGTACTGATCATATATATCAAAAAAACTTAATATAAGCCGTTTTGAAAAAAAATCATATTTCAACATCTATAATATGAATCAAACAAGCAAAAATATTTTGACAAAGAGAGTTGTTTGTTCACCAGTGTTTGTGTTTGCATGAGAGCATGCACGAAATGTTTCTTGCTAGTTAGTCATTTTCATTTCACTTTCACACCCGACGTTACGCTTGCGTTTCGTAACACAAATAACTAAAGCTAACATTACTCCAGCAATCGTTATGTTGATCCCAGCAACAATGAAAGGTGCATTATAACTTTCTGTCTTGTCATAAAGCCAACCTGTGATTAGAATGAATATTTCTCTTATTATTATTATTATTATTATTATTATTATTAAACAAATTATAATTATTATTAAACAAAAGTTTCATGCAGTCTGCAATATGAGATTATCCTAGAAGGATTTATGGTTAATGTATCGTACAAAATGTATTCATAAATGATTGATAAACAAAAGTTAACATGTTAAGATATAACAATATATAATGAGGAAAAACAGCGCCTCAAAATTTCATATGGCACTCTAAATGTAAGTGCGGCGTTCTCAAGAACGAGATGCACAATTCAACATAATATGTACATATTAAAACTTGTAAGAAAATATCAATATTTACCCGCAAACGGCGGCCCAATCAGATTTGCAACTCCTTTACACATCAGTAGTAAGCCGAATGCATTTGTTAACATTTGTTTTCCCAAGATGTCAACTATCACAACAGACATAAGTGGAATGTATATACCTGAAAAACAAAGATCTTAGATATGATAAAAGTTGATAGAATTATCAAATATTCAAAAATGTCTGTTTTAACTTATCTTTTTATACTTTTTTATATTGATCAATCTTTCATTTTACCATTTAGCTTGTTCAATTTGTTCTTTGACGGCAACAAAAGTAATAAAGGCGCTTACCGTAGGAGAGTCCAAATACGCAAGAGAAGGCGACGAGCCAAGTAAAGTTTGTGCATAGTGGACAAATGGCAGTTGAAACGCCAACAACTATAATTGCACTGCTGAATAACATAATCTTATTTATCTTCAGTTTGTCAGCAAGAATCCCACTAAACACTCTGCCAACGGTATTTGTTATCCCTATAATGGCGCCCAGCCATTTTGCACTTGCTGTGTCTATTCCCATCTCAATGGCACGATCATATAAAAATATGAATGGTATAAGAAGACTGAAGCTTATTAAGACGTTTGAAATAAGGTAAAAAATGAACATCACATTTTTAAATTGGGATAAATTGCACGCCTTTGACATCATACTACATAGATTTACTGCAAAACTTTTCACTTCATGCTTCAATTTCTCATCTTTACCGAAATTGTGGCTAGAAGAGTTCTCCCTTATGCATGTCTGCAATGGTCCTTCTTTGCAATGAGATACAGTATGTTCTGCAATGAAAATTAAGTATAAAACTAAATATTTCAATTTTTTGTAGTTTTCAGAAAAAGCACTTAATATACCTATTAAAAATTGTCTACTTATGATAAATATAGATAAAAGAGTAAACCTTACCATGTTTATCTGAATGAAAAGCTGGTTCTCCGCTGTGCCTCCTCTTTGATACAGTAGGGCACAGAGACAAACTTTTCACACTTTGGAATGGTTCATGCTCGGTACCATTCTGCTGAACTGTTGCTAAATGTGATAACTCCAATGATGATACTTTATCAGTAGTTTCTAATATGTTATTTGTGTTGTTAAAATTTTCCATTTGTGTAAAGAATTTCCTTTCTGTACCTTCAACTTGAGGTACTGGTTGCTTCTGTTTCGTAAGTGGTCTAAATAGGGCTCCACACAAAATGCAATTAAGTTGAATACCCGCTTGAATGAGTAATGTTCCGCGCCACCCATATACGTCAATCAAATACTTTGATAAGGGATTTAGAATAAAAGCTCCTATACCACTCCCACAAGACGCAAGCCCCATAGCCAAAGTTCGCTTGCTTTCAAAATAATGAGCAACGCAAACAACAGCTGGGAAATATGTTAGACCAAAACCTAGACCTGAGGTAAAAAAAAGAACATGATATTATTTTTATGGTTTAATATTTGAACATTATGTACACTGAACAAGACATATAGAACTGTGATTACATCTGTAAGGAAAAATTGACACATGTTTATATGAGAGGTTTGTACTTTTTATTGAATAATTATCATATAGAAATTAATTTACTGTAAAGTGTTATTAAATAATCATGCTTGACATAATGTAAAAAAGCAAACGTTTCATATACCTGAAAGTATGCCAAAACTGAAATAGAGAAAATAAAGACTCGGTGAAAAGGCGCTTAGAATGAAACCAACGGAGGTTACTATAGCACCAATGATTGTTGTAGCTCGACATCCAAACTTGTTCGTCAAAACACTGGCGATGGGTCCTGAAACAAATAAAAGTTTATTGTGAAAAAGCCGATAAGATTGGTCTATTTGACAAATGTTAAGAAAATGCACATCTACTTTGAAAATAATATAAATAAACAAATAAAAATAGGTTTGAAAATGGCGCATT